CCAGGATGAGCACGCTCATTCCTGGGGTAGCCGGTTCCAGAGCTGGGTCCCCGGATCCCCTGGAGTAATGTCCAGTAAGCCCAATAAGAAGAGGGCATGGTAGCCCAGCTGGGACAAAGGGAGAATGCCCGCTGGCCGGCTGGATCCCAGGGCCGCCCCTCCTCTCCTCGGCCCCTCCCTTTCCTCTTTCTCTTTCTTTCTGGACAGGCAACTGAGTTCAGCCGAACAAGGCAGGCCTTGTGCCTGAAGCCACAAGTGGCCAGATCCATCCGGGCATCCAGTAACCAGAGTTGCTGAGTTGGATCCTGGCCCTGGCTGCTCACCCACTGCAGCCCCAGCCTCCCCAGGATACTGTACCTGAGGCCCCAAGCTGCCCTTCCTCCTGGCGGCCGTGCTCTGCCCAGCTGCCCTGCCGTTACTAAAATGTCCTACACTGGGCCGGCCCCAGGGGTGGGGCTGCTCTGACTGCATGCCTGACTTGGGCTCTGGGCCAACCAGAGGCCGCAGGCCAAGATTTCACCACCAACTTCCTCGGGGGCCTGGAGAGCCTTTCCTGGACCACAGAGAAGCAGTCAGGGCCCAGAGAGGGCTGGTACCAGCCAACCAGCCAGCTGTCTCTGCAGGCCCAGGCACAGCAGGTCTGAGCTTTGAGCCAAGGGGCCCAGCCCCAGGGGGAATGAGAGCCCAGGGCAGTGGCTCTGGGAATCATGCGGTCAGGTAGGGCCCAGTGACCTGGAATAGTAAGGAAGGCCCTGTCCCCCAATCCCAGACTTTCTTGAAGCCTCCTCCTCCCAGGCTCAATTTCCCCATCTGCAAAATGAAGAAGTCACACCCAAAGACGGCTAGATTCCAGAAATACATTCCCAGAGACCATGCCTGCTGCCTGCTCTGTTTCTTAGCCACCCTGTGGAGCATCCTATTCACAGAGCCCTCACCCTGAAAACTGGACTTTTTTTTTTTTTTTAGATTTTTACTATAGGGCGCATGCACTTGCCAGAGACACACACACAGAGAGAAAGACAAACAGAAAGTGAGAAATCACCCCCTGGGAGAATGACCACTTTGCAATCCCTTCTCCATTCTCCTCTCAGGATTTTGGGCACACATGCACACGTGTCCGGTATAAATTTTTTAAAGCCACCTGGTCCAGGACTTGAACTGCATGGGAGTTCAGCAACTTGACCATTACGCCATCCACTGGTTCCCAAAATGGGACATTTTATAGATGAGGAAATGGGGACCCAGAGAGGGGACAGGACTTGACCTGGGTGGTGACTGGTAGGGCTTCTTTTTCCAGAGTTGGGGCTGTGTCCATTCCCGGGTGTCCACTCTGCCTCCTGGGGATGAGTGCCACCTTCCACCCCCTAGGACAGTGGTCATGATGCCAAGTGTCATCATGATGGTTCTTGTGGTCCCGCTCCTCAGGTGCCAGAACTGTGCTAGGGGACCTGTCCCCTGCCTTGCTCCCGCGCCTCCCTGGCACACCTGTCAGAGCCAGCACAGAGGGAGATGGCTCCGAGCAGCTCTGGCAGATGTCAGACAGGCAGGTGATTGAGTTACAGGTGTGGGGGGAGAACATCCTTTGTGCCACTGCCATGGTCTGTGGCTGCTGTCCCCCGGTTCCCAGGAGCCCTGGGTCTACCTGGCTCCTGGCCTGGGCCTCTGGGCCGACCTTGCACCTGGGAGAAGCTCATCACTGCCCAGCCCCTCAGCTACCCGGCCTACCTGGGAGGTCAGGGAGGTCTCCCGGTCCACGCCCAGTCTGGTAGTCCCTGGAGGATGCAGCTAATTGGGGTAGGAAGTCAGGGGCTGCGGAAGCCCCGTCCTCTGCCCGGGATGGAGCCCCCAGCCGCTGCCTGTCACGTGGCTCAGCATGTGACAGCCCTGCCCTCTCTGGAGCGGAGCCAGGCAGAAGCAAAAGCAGAGCAGTCGCCAGGCGGGGCTGGGCTGGGGCTGAGGCTGAGCCTGCAGCCTTCAGCTGGGAAGGAGGCCCAGTAACGGCAGCCACTGGTCTAAGCGCACACAGCAAACTAGGCATCCACCTGGTGAGGTGCTGGTCAGTGGTGGGTGTGTTGCATGATCCTGAGGGTCCCCTCCATGGCCAGGTGTCCCCTTGCGAGGGCTGAACTTGTCATAGATTCAGGGACAACCTGGGAGGTGTTAGAGGGGCCCGTACCCCTAGGACAGAGCCCTCAAACTGTCCTGGGAGTAAAGCTCCTCATCGGGGACGCCACCACACCTCAGGGGACGATGGAGACCAGCTCCTCCCTTCTCTAGGCTGGGTACCTCTCATTGCTCTTCAAAGCTCCAGAAGTTCAGAAGGGCTAGGAGTTGTGATCTTGAGGACAAATGGGAGTTCTCTGCCAGGCCCCACTCTTAGAGCCAGCTCTGGTGGGGAGGAGGCAGCCTGGTGGGATGAGGAAATGAAGACAGAGGTTCTGAAGTTCCCAAAGTGGCCAAGCTCACGTCTCTGGGTCAGAGCTGGCCCTTGCGGGTCCTGCCTCTTTCCCACGGGGCAATCGCTTTACCTCTACGGGCCTGGTGTTCTTATGTGAACCTGGGAAACAGTCCTAGGGATTGTCGGGGGGGGGGGCAAATCCCTCAGCTCAGTGCGTGGCACAGAGCTGGTTAGGTGTGAGGCCTGGGTTCAAATCCTGATCCTGCCTCTTATCTGTGGGACCTCATGTTAGTGTCTTGGTGTCTTTGCGCCTTTGTGTTCCCATCTATAAAATGGGATCTGTGACAGTAACACATGCCCATGGCTAGAGGGAGTGAGGACGGAATAAGTCAATCCATATTTGTGGACCTGGAATTTTTTACCATTCCTAGTGGTCCGTATTCCCCTCTGAAGTAGGCCAAGAGCCACGACCCAGACTCCTGGACAGGAGGGGACCTTGTCCCCTGCTGGTCTCACCACCTGATACCCAGACCCCCTCAGCTCCCACTATCCACTGCCGGGGCCTCCATGTTGGGTGTCCCTACTGCCTGCCCTCCCTGCCCTCCCCTCCTCTGATTCTCACCCCTCCTCACCAAGTCTGCAAGGGAGTTCTGAGGTCAGAGAGGGGCCTCAGGGTCAGGTCTCGCCTCTCGGCTCAGGGCTCCTTCCCGCCTCAGCCAGGGCAGGAGGAGCCCTCTCTGCCCGAGGCTGGAACACTCCTATTTTGGCCTCTGGAAAGAGGGCCTGGCCCTGCCATCAGTGTCTGGTTCAGTTTAGAGGATTTGACAAGAAGCCCCTCATCGTGTCCACCTTTGCCTCCCTTGCTGGGGCACAGGCCCAGGGGGGGGTGGGCTGGGCATGGGCTATGGCATCAGATGGATTCATCCTTCCTTCATTCATCCCCTCATCACTCAGACCCCTGCCAAACCTGGTTCACGGGGCCTCAGACCTGCCCAGGAGCGTCTCACTGTCTCCTATGTCTACAGGCTCCTTAACTCTTTTGCTAAGTGACTTTGCACAAGTCGTGTCCCCTTGCTGGGTTTCAATTTGCTATCCTGTAAAATGGGTTGATTTCCACCTGCCTCACAGTGCTACTGTGAGGGTGAAACAAGAGTATGTCTGGGAAGCATCTGATAGGGCACAGCACATAGTAGGTACTCAGCACATGGAAACACCCTCCTGCCCCTGTCTTGGGCCTCCTAAGGAAGGGGGTGCCCCAGGCTTGTCCCTGAGGCTCTGACCCTGCCTGCCTCTGCTCCCTGCTGGTCTAGAAGGCCAGGACCAGCCTGGCTCCTCTGAGCAGACCTTGTCTCTTCAGAAGCCAGCACTGCCCCTCTCAGGGCACGTAGAGGCCCGGGGCGCAGTGAGTCAGCACTCAATGAGGGCGGTGGTGGCTATTCACTAGGCAAACCTTCACTGAGCACTCGCAGTGTGGGCACTTCACAGAGCTTCTCCTACAAGCCGCAGACTGCTGCGCTTCAGCTGAGACAGGCCCAGAGAGGTTGGGTGACATGACTGGGGCCACAGATGGGGAGGACACACAGATTCGAACCTGGCCAAGCCTGACTCCCAGCCACAGCCTTTCCTGGGGGCTCAGAGCCGCCACAAAGGAGCTGGGCTGGGGTCTTTGGCCCCTGATGAGCCCCTCGCCCCCCAGCCCCCTTAAGCCTCATGACAAATGAAAGCAGCTGCTGATTCCTGGACGTTTGCTGTAGCGGGTGTAGGCAAGGCCCCTCAAGGACCTCCCAGCAGCCTGCGAGCCCGATCAGTATCCTCATCCCCATTGTTGTGTTTTGTTTTCTAGGTTTTTGTCATAGGGCACGTGCACTTGCTGAAGAGAGAGAGAGAGAAAAAAAAAGTGAGAAAGGGGAATGGCCACCCCTTAATCCAGTCTCCTCCATTCTCCTGTAAGGACTTTGGGAACATACACACCCACACCCAGCCTGTTTTTCGAGCCACTGGGTCCAGGACTCAAACCATGCAGTTGGTCATTTGGGATCCATCGCTTTAACTACCACACCACCTACAGGCCTCTTGTTAGATTTTGTTGTATAGAATTATCTACTTAATTTTATTAATTATTATTATTATTTTAGTTTGATCAGGGAGAGACAAAGAGAGAGGGAAAATGAGGAAACAGCAAGCCGCCAGGTCTGGGACTCAAACTGCAGTCGGTCACGTGGGAGTGGGATTCCAGTTCCTTAACCGCCACTACACCTGCCGGCCCCACTTTTTTTTTTAAATAGATTTTTCCTATAGGGTGTGTGCTCTCACCAGAGAGACAGAGAGACTGAAAGCGAGAAACCACCTAGGGGGTGATTGCCACACCACAGTCCCTTCTCCTCCATTCTCTCAGGATCTTGGGCAGGCATGTACATGTGCCCAGCGTGTTTTAAGCTGCCGTGTCCAGAACTCGAATCACAGTCGACCCGTGGAAGTCCAGCAACATAACTATTGTGCCCTTCGTTTTGTTTTTTAAGTTGATTTATTCCTACTGAGAGAGAGAGAAAGAGAGACGCCTCCCGCATCAGGGTCTTCACACTGCAGTCCTACCCCAGTCTCAGTCAGCCTGCATGGCATGTGCACACGCGTGTATGCGGACACAAACATCCAGACACAAACCCAGGACCTTCCACGTGGGTGCAGCATCACAGGTGTGTTACTAGGGCTGCGTTCTTGGCTCTTTTATTATGATTACTACTTTATTTAACTTTATTTATTTATTTCAATTTGACCAGAGAGGGACAGAGAGAGAGAAAGAGAGCGAGAAAATGAGAAAGCAAGCCGCCAGGTCCGGAACCCGAACCGTGGTCGGCCGTGTGGGAATCCAGCGCCTTTAACCACCACGCCATCTGCCAGCCCTCGGCTCTTTTCTTTCCAGTTTATTTCCAGAGAGGAGGGGAGCGCCCTTTACAGGGTCTGCATGCCGCCACCCTCCCTCAAGCCACAGGCACACCCAGTGTATTGAGGGAGACCCAGGCCATGA